TTAAGGCATGATAACATGTGAATGGTAGTTTGCTTGTATAAACTGCGAAAAAGTGAAAGTTGACCGTGCACAAGTTTGATTGATTGGTCCGTGGCGGAGGTACGCACGGCTCAATAACTGGTGACGAGCCAACAGATAGAATGGCCCGTGGAATATGTGACTATCCGGGAGCTTACCCGAGTCTGGCATGAGGTGGTTAGGCTAATTGTTATGATCGGACATTGTGACTGGATTTATGATTGCGTGTTGTGTTTTTGGGGTATGCTCGTTTACATGTATGATTTGTTGAATTGCATTATTTGGATTCGTGAGGCCCATTGATCACAGTTTCCCCTAAAATAATATTTTTCTCATTCATTTGAATAAATAATTGTTAAAATATTAAATCACAAGAAAGAACACGTAATCTTGCTGGTACTATTATATATATCTCGTCTATCTTGATTCGTCCTCTCGCCATTGGTTGGTGCTTCAAATGATAAAGACGTATATCTGTTACTAAACCTACAGTAATTAATAGACCTCTATTTAAATAATTCCACGGTTTCCACCTGTATGGTTTTTTTAATCAGTATATATTAAAATACTAAACCTTACCGTCATTAATAGACCTCTATTTAAACTTATCTTCCATAGCTCCATTCTCCATTCTTTTTCACTAATCTATCTCCATTTCACTAATCCAGAGTAATAGATCTTGTCTGTTCAGGATTCACGTAAACATGGCTGCCAAGATTCACGTCGGAAGTAATCATTTCTTTCTTCTACATGCGTATGAGATTTTTAATATTTTAAATTTTCTTTACACAAGTTTTGTGATTTGAAGGCTTTGTTACTGACTTAATGTATATATTGATTGTTTCAGATCTCTCATTGAACACTACCCTTGATACGTTTAGGCAAGCTTTTTCGGACGACGGTCAAGTGCTAGATGGTAAAAGCATTTGGATCAACCTATTTTTACTATTTTCCGAGGTACTTACTGAGTGCTATTTAAGTAAAACTTTTGCTGCAGCTATTGTTATGACAGACACAGACACAGGAATGTCCAGGGGTTTTGGATATGTCACCTACAGTACTGTCTCTGAAGCCGGAGTTGCAATAGAAGAGATGAATGATCAGGTTTTGGATGGCTCCATTTTTGGTATAATTTTTCTAGGGGGATTTTGAGAAATACCCTAAATTTTAATGGAAATTTGAAAAGTATATTTAATTTTATAAAGTTGGAAAAATATACCTTTTTTGTTACGTAAAAGTAAGTAAATATTCTTATACATATTTAACATGC